CACCACACATTACTGTACTGTAGCTGGGGTCGTCGTCACCCCTCACCACACATTACTGTACTGTAGCTGGGGTCTTCGTCACCCCTCACCACACATTCTGTACTGTATCTGGGGATATTCGTCACCCCTCGCCACACGTTACTGTGCTGTAATCTGGGGTCTTCGTCACCCCTCACCACACATTACTGTACTGTAGCTGGGGTCGTCGTCACCCCTCACCACACATTACTGTACTGTAGCTGGGGTCGTCGTCACCCCTCACCACACATTACTGTACTGTAGCTGGGGTCGTCGTCACCCCTCACCACACATTACTGTACTGTAGCTGGGGTCTTCGTCACCCCTCACCACACATTACTGTACTGTATCTGGGGTCGTCGTCACCCCTCACCACACATTACTGTACTGTGGCTGGGGTCTTCGTCACCCCTCACCACACATTGCTGTACTGTGGCTGGGGTCTTCGTCACCCCTCACCACACATTACTGTACTGTAGCTGGGGTCTTCGTCACCCCTCACCACACATTACTGTACTGTAGCTGGGGTCTTCGTCACCCCTCACCACACATTACTGTACTGTAGCTGGGGTCTTCGTCACCCCTCACCACACATTACTGTACTGTAGCTGGGGTCGTCGTCACCCCTCACCACACATTACATGACAGAAAATAGTAATATGACGTCATGTTCTTGCAACCAATCACAACGCGAGCAGTTGAACCAATCAGCGTGTTCGGTAAACAAGATTCGGAAATTCCTTCAGCCGCTGGTCTGTACACATCATCCTCTTACTCCTCTCGACGGTCAGCGGGAGAATTACTTTATTTTACTTTACTTTACAAGTAAATATTTGGAACTTTATATACCGGTAATTACAAAAAATAAACTGCCTTTCCATCAGTGACCTGTGCCCTGGTGGGCTAATCCCCGAAAAAGAATAAGAAAAAAAAATAAAATAAAACTCCGACACCATCATAACCTTTCATCATATTGTAAACTGCGATCGGATCGTTGATTGGTTAGTGAATCAGCCCATCAGAACTCGTCGTTCATCTACTGTATAGCCACCTGTTGCCTGTACACAAACAACATGGTACCAGATCCTACTAAAACTGCCTCACATTATTTACATTCACAAAACATTTGTAACATTATACATTAAAACATTCACATAAAAATAATAATAATAAAAATAATAAAAATAATAATAATAATAATAACAACTATAATAATATTCCCGATCGTGTTTTTGTTCAAATAAATCTGTATTATTATTTGCGTCACTTTTAACATCATCCTCCCCTCACCTCTCCACACTTGGTCCAGTAAACAATAGAGTGAGTTACTGTCTACTGTACGTGTTTGGTGAGGTGGGCGACAGAGAAACACTCAAATTAACAAAATGTAGACGGCTGGTCCTGTCAACATTTATATAAAGGAGTACTTGACATTTCTTACTTAAACACACACACACACACACACACACACACACACACACACACACACACACACAAAATCATTCTACCTTGAGCTGAACTTCCTCACCCAACCACAACAAGAATGATCAAGTGTGTAGGATAAAAATAAATAAATAAAAAAGTTTCCTGGTGTTGCTGCGTCCACCACTACGTTTACCTGCGCAGGTGTTTGAGCATATTGGACACACCTGAAGCTCTCTCGTGACACCTGACCAATACGATAATGACCAACATGACTCACTGTGATATTTTATTTGTCATAATTTTAGTTTATTTACATTATTAATTATTATATTTGTCGTTGTGTTCTTTGTTGCTCTGATATGAACCTTAATGTCCAGTGTTATACATAAGGGTTATACATAGTTTTACATGATTATTTAGGTAAAACTATAATCTTAACTTACCTGGTCAATGTAATTATATGTGTTGAGGTACTGTAGAATTATATACCTGTTAATACACATTGGACAGACATACATTAAATTAAATTAAAATACACGCTTGATAATACGAACACGCATAATTATAAAGGTATTTTTAATTGATCACCTGACGATTAGACACCCCAACGCTAACCTAATCTAACCTAACCTAACCTAACCAAATTTTAACTTCACCTAACTTAACCAAACGCAAACCTAATCTAATTTAGCGCCCCGGTCCCCCAGGTAAAGCAAAAGGTAGTTATCACAGGTAGTTAAGGCTCACATTACCATCATTACGCTAAGGTGTTTACAGGTAACCGAGTTCTCTAAATTCCCTGGACTCTCATCACTTTGTTTAATGGTGTCAGGTGACTTGATCAGCTGGGTGTGTGTGTGTGTGTGTGTGTGTGTGTGTGTGTGTGTGGGTGGGTGGGTGGGTGTGTGTGGGTGGGTGGGTGGGTGGGTGGAGTGGGTGTGTGGGGTGGAGTGGGTGGGGGTGGGGTGGGGTGGTGTGTGTGTGTGTGTGTGTGTGTGTGTGTCCTACATTCATACAACAGTATTCGAGTAAAGAAAAAAACACACAACAAAAACCTGTGTCTGTGTATGGAGAGAGAGCTTGGTCTAATCACGAGTGTTCCAACAGACAGGTAAGAGTCACAGGTAAGTCTTAATATCACCAGTAATTACTTCCCTTATCTCCCCCTTATCGTGTGACGCTCTGGGGGCCGCAGCGTCACCATACTGAGGGCAGTGAGGGGTGATAGTGGCCAACGTCACCATACTGAGGAGACAGAGTAGGGGTGATAGTAGCCAGAGCGTCACCATACTGAGTGAGACAGTGACTAGGGGTGATAGTGAAGCCAGAGCGTCACCATACTGAGTGAGACAGTGAGTAGGGCAGATAGTGAAGCCAGAGCGTCACCATACTGAGTGGGACAGTGACTAGAGGGTGATAGTGAAGTCAGAGCGTCACCATATCTAACCTGACCCCACGGCCTAGCCTCACCTAACCTACACCCCCAACCTAACCTACCCACACTCCTCCTCCTCCCACCTCTCTACCACACTATGCATGATGGAAACAAGTCGAGTTGATTTGCATTTGTCTCTCCAGATTAGATACGCCCATCGAGTGTTTTGTCTGGCTATAGATAACTGCTCACCACGACCTACCATTACTACCTGTAGATGTTACCTACGACCAAACACTCAGTACAGGTAGACAATGACGATATGATGAATGTTGAAGCTGTCATTATTTAAGCTTATTATTTAGTGGATGTTAAGCTTTCCCTGTCTATGTACATTATTTGTATACCTGCACAGTCTATGTACACAATGTACCAATGTGAATTTGTATGACAGTTTTATAGAAAATCTCTCTCTCTCTCTCTATATATATATATATATATATATATATACACTCAGTAATTAATATGCTGAGGTGATTTGGGTTGGGTTGGGTTGGGGGAGCCTAGTGACCTACAACTGAGCGGAAGAAGTACCTCAACCCCTTCATGTCCACCTGCTGCCCCCCCTCCCTGCTGTGTAACAAAGAACTACTACAAGTTAGCAGAAGGTCAGCCAAGTTGACCTTTAGTGTGGGTTACTATAAGGTCTCTGATCAATATTATTTTTCTGAGTGTATTAAGTTGAGGGATATTATCAATCTTCCACCATCCTATACCAATCTTCCTCCATCACTACACCAATCTTCCTCCATCACTACACCAATCTTCCTCCACCACACACCAATCTTCCTCCACCACTACACCAATCTTCCTCCATCACTACACCAATCTTCCTCCACCACTACACCAATCTTCCTCCATCACTACACCAATCTTCCTCCATCACTACACCAATCTTCCTCCATCACTACCAATCTTCCACCACAACACCAATCTTCCTCCACCACTACACCAATCTTCCATCACTACACCAATCTTCCTCCATCACTACACCAATCTTCTCACCACCAATCTTCCCATCACTACACCAATCTTCCTCCATCACTACACCAATCTTCCTCCCACCACTACACAATCTTCCCATCACACCAATCTTCCTCCACCACAACACCAATCTTCCTCCATCATACACCAATCTTCCTCCACCACTACACCAATCTTCCTCCACCACAACACCAATCTTCCTCCACCACTACACCAATCTTCCTCCATCACTACACCAATCTTCCTCCACCACTACACCAATCTTCCTCCACCACAACACCAATCTTCCTCCACCACTACACCAATCTTCCTCCACCACTACACCACCTCTCCACCACTACACCAATCTTCCTCCATCACACACCACCCTCCACCACAACACAATCTTCCTCCATCACTCACCAATCTTCCTCCATCACTACACCAATCTTCCTCCACCACTACACCAATCTTCCTCCACCACTACACCAATCTTCCACCATCCTATACCAATCTTCCTCCACCACTACCAATCTTCCTCCATCCCACTACACCAATCTTCCTCTATCCCACTACACCAATCTTCCTCCCATCACTACACCAATCTTCCTCCACCACTACACAATCTTCCTCCACCACTACACCAATCTTCCTCCACCACTACACCAATCTTCCTCCACCACTACACCAATCTTCCTCCATCACTACACCAATCTTCCTCCATCCTACACCACCAATCTTCCTCCACCACTACACCAATCTTCCTCCACCACTACACCAATCTTCCTCCACCACTACACCAATCTTCCTCCACCCCACTACACCAATCTTCTTCCCATCACTACCAATCTTCCTCACCACTACCCAATCTTCCTCCACCACTACACCAATCTTCCTCCACCCACTACACCAATCTTCCTCCATCACTACACCAATCTTCCCTCCCATCACTACACCAATCTTCCTCCATCACTACACCAATCTTCCTCCATCACTACACCAATCTTCCTCCATCACTACACCAATCTTCCTCCATCACTACACCAATCTTCCTCCATCACTACACCAATCTTCCTCCATCACTACACCAATCTTCCTCCATCACTACACCAATCTTCCTCCACCACGTGTATACAGCTAACAAGGGAGCCTGACTTACCTCGATGTGTTTGATTTTGTCTATAACCGAATCGTCTTTAATCCTCTTGATGAAGGCGTATCCGGCCCCGTTGTCGGTGATGGTCAGGCCCAGGGCGTCTTCAGTCTTGGTAATCTCCACTTCCTTCGGCCGACCTGTACACACACGTAATAGTAGTAGTAGTAGTAGTAGAATTTGTAGTGGATATTTTGCATTGATCAGCTAAGTTCCCACTAACGCTATTTTACCGTGAGAGCGCTCTGATTGGCTATGTACTTTCTGTTTAGTATGACGGGGTGAGATCTGCTCCCCCTTCCTCCTCCCCCCGGTCTAGGAAGTTAGGTAAGGTTAGGTTAGGTTTCTTTGGTTGGTTAGGTCAGGTTTTATTTGGTTAAGTTTTAGGTAGTTATCGCGTTGTTCCTCCGGTAATGGACGTTAGCTAATCAGAGTGCACTCGCGGTAAAATATCAACTGCCATAATAATAATAGTAATTTTGGCTGTAAATATAGTATGTGTGTATGGGTTGACTATATCTGTTTTTCCTCTCTCCCGTTTTCTCTCTTTTTTGTCTCTATCTCTCTTTTCTCTTTCCTCCATCCTCCCTTTCTTTCCTCTCTCTCTATTGCTTTCTTCCTGCCCCTCTTCCCCTCTCTCCCTGGCTTATTGTATCATGAACTTTGTAATTTCTACATTGAATCAGGGGTGCTTGGGGACATTCTAGCTGTTTATCCCAAATTTGCTAGCCCACACTGATTAGTCTTCAATTACAATATGACGTCCAATATATATGAACCTCTGTCTTGCATGGCAGTGAACAGTGGCATCACCCACATGAATCTGACTTCTATATATACTGTTAATGAGTATGATGTATTTCTTTGTGTATGAACCTCTGTCCTGCGTGGCAGTGAACAGTGGCATCACCCACATGAATCTGACCTATATATACTGTTAATGAATATGATGTATTTCTTTGTGTATGAACCTCTGTCCTGCGTGACAGTGAGAAGTGATACCACCCTTAGTGTCAAGACCTGACTGAATTACTCAGAATAGGCAAACTGTACTACAAGCTTTGTCAATAAATTTGTTAAACTAAAAAAAAAATAAATAAACCATCTCGTTCAATATTTTGACTATACAAACCTAATCTCTCTCTCTCTCTCTCCCGTCTACACACAACACCCACACAACCTACCCAGTTCTCCACTTAGTTTTCACTCCCGCCTTTCACTACACAGTATACTATCAAGACCGGCCATCTTTCCTTCATACAGAATGGGAATATATATATATATATATATATATATATATATATATATATATATATATATATATATATATATATATATATATATATATATATATATATATTAATCTTTTATGTGGTATTTTTTTTGGTGGAAGATTTTATTACTTACTTTTTGTATATATATATATATATATATATATATATATATATATATATATATATATATATATATATATATATATATATATATATATATATATATATATATATATATATATATATATATATATATATATATATATATATATATATATATATATTAGAAATTAGTTATTTCTACAGATTTTATTGTTATTGAGAGAGAGAGAGAGAATAATACACACAAACACTCCTAATCTAACCTGACCTAGCCCAACCTAACTTAACCAAACTAACTTAACCAAACTAACTTAACCAAACCAGTCTAAATTAACCTAACCTAACTCAACCAAACCAAACATAATCTAATTTAACCTCACCTCACTTAACCTTGCCTAACTTAACCTAACCAAACATGTTCTTGCTTTCTTAAAAGATGCTTCAGTCACACTTAACGTGATATACTGAGTGAAGCACACGTGATAAGTAACATACAAGTAGCAAAAGTCGTGCTACTACACTTATAAAGACAAGTAGCAAAAGCAGCACGGTAAGTGAAGCACCACACAAGACAGTAAGTGAAGCACCACACAATATAGTAAGTGAAGCACCACACAATATAGTAAGTGAAGCCCCACACAATATAGTAAGTGAAGCACCACACAATATAGTAAGTGAAGCACCACACGAGACAGTAAGTGAAGCAACACAAGACAGTAAGTGAAGCACCACACAATATAGTAAGTGAAGCCCACACACTATAGTTAGTGAAGCACCACAATATATTAAGTGAAGCACCACACAATATAGTAAGTGAAGCACCACACAATATAGTAAGTGAAGCCCCACACAATATAGTAAGTGAAGCACCACACAATATAGTAAGTGAAGCCCCACACAATATAGTAAGTGAAGCACCACACAATATAGTAAGTGAAGCCCCACACAATATAGTAAGAGAAGCAACACACAATATAGTAAGTGAAGCACCACACAATATAGTAAGTGAAGCAACACACAATATAGTAAGAGAAGCAACACACAATATAGTAAGGGAAGCACCACGCACGACAGTAAGTGAAGCACCACGCACTGTAGTTAATGAAGCACCACACTGTAGTTAGTGAAGCACCACACAATATAGTAAGTGAATCAACACACAATATAGTAAGTGAAGCACCACACAATATAGTAAGTGAAGCAACACACAATATAGTAAGTGAAGCAACACACAATATAGTAAGTGAAGCATCACACATTATAGTTAGTGAAGCACCACACAATATAGTAAGTGAAGCACCACACAATATAGTAAAGCACCCACAAGACAGTAAGTGAAGCACACCACTATAGTTAGTGAAGCACCACACATAATATAGTAAGTGAAGCACCACACAATATAGTAAGGGAAGCACCACACAATATAGTAAGGGAAGCACCACACAATATAGTAAGGGAAGCACCACACAATATAGTAAGGAAGAAAAACCACACAATATAGTAAGGGAAGCACCACACAATATAGTAAGGGAAGCACCACACAATATAGTAAGGGAAGCACCCACAATATAGTAAGGGAAGCACCACACAATATAGTAAGGAAGCACCACACAATATAGTAAGTGAAGCACCACACAATATAGTAAGTGAAGCACCCACAATATAGTAAGGGCAACACAATATAGTAAGGAAGCACACAATATAGTAAGAAGCACCGCACTATATAAGTGAAGCAACACACAAGACAGAAGGAACAACACACAATATATAAACACTGTAGTTAGTGAAGCACCACACAATATAGTAAGTGAAGCACCACACACATAGTAAGGAAGCACACACAAGACAGTAAGTGAACACCAATATAGTAGAACAAAATATAGTAAGTGAAGCACCACACAATATAGTAAGGAAGCACCAACAATATAAGGAAGCACCACACAATATATAAGGAAGCACCAATAGAAGGAAGCACATAATATAGTAAGGAAGCACCACACAATATAGTAAGGAAGCACAAAATATAAGTAAGAAGCACCACACAATATAGTAAAAGCAAAACACAATATAGTAAGTGAAGCACCACACAATATAGTAAGTGAAGCACCACACAATATAAAAGGAAGCACCACACAATATAGTAAGGAAGCACCACACAATATAGTAAGGAAGCACTGCACTATATAGTAAGTGAAGCAACACACAAGACAGTAAGTGAAGCAACACACAATATAGTAATGAAACACCACACAATATAGTAAGTGAAGCACCACACAATATAGTAGTGAAGCACCACACAATATAGTAAGTGAAGCACCACACAATATAGTAAGGAAGCAACACACAATATAGTAAGGAAGCACCGCACTATATAGTAAGTGAAGCACCACACAATATAGTAAGGAAGCACCACACAATATAGTAAGGAAAGCACCACAATATAGTAAGTGAAGCACCACACAAGACAGTAAGTGAAGCACCACAATATAGTAAGGGAAGCACACAATATAGTAAGGAAGCACCACACAATATAGTAAGGAAGCACCACACAAGACAGTAAGTGAAGCACCACACAATATAGTAAGGGAAGCACCACACAATATAGTAAGGAAGCACCACACAATATAGTAAGGGAAGCACCACACAATATAGTAAGTGAAGCACCACACAATATAGTAAGTGAAGCACCACACAATATAGTAAGGAAGCACCACACAATATAGTAAGGAAGCACCACACAATATAGTAAGGAGCACCGCACTATATAGTAAGTGAAGCAACACACAAGACAGTAAGTGAAGCAACACACAATATAGTAAATGAAACACCACACAATATAGTAAGTGACACCACACAATATAGTAAGTGAAGCACCACACAATATAGTAAGTGAAGCACCACACAATATAGTAAGGAAGCAACACACAAGACAGTAAGTGAAGCAATACACAATATAGTAAATGAAACACCACACAATATAGTAAGTGAAGCACCACACACTATAGTTAGTGAAGTACCACACAATATAGTAAGTGAAGCACCACACAATATAGTAAGTGAAGCACCACACACTATAGTAAGTGAAGCACCACAATATAGTAAGGGAAGCAACACACAATATAATGAAACACCACACAATATAGTAAGTGAAGCACCAGACACACATACAGAAAACAAAAGCTAACTGCAGCACACACAATAGGCTGAGGCTAAGTGAAGCACCACACACACTACTACTACTACTACTTTGCTGTCACTCGGAATCGAGTATGACGATCATCCAGCTATGATACAATGATTATTATGAGTTATTAATGTTGTCACCTTCGTTGGTGAGTTTTCAGGTGACTCGAGAGACCGGCAGGGTCGATCACAGATGTTGCAATGCGGCTACACCATCTTTCCGGAGTTGGCGCTTGTCTGCCACGGTTTGCAGTCGGGCTAACTTGAAAGTATTGACACCTTCTCGTGTGATGCTCCTCCAAGCGTTGCGGTGTGGAGTAATTGTCCCAGGTGACGGGGTCAATTTGGCCTTTTTTTCAGGTTTGCCTTAAGACTGTCCTTTTACCTTTTCAGTTGCCCGCCAGCGTTACATTTACTATTCGTTAGGTGACTGTAAAGTAGCTGCTTTGGCAGTCTACTGTCGTCCATGCAGGTAACATGGCCAGTCCAGCATAGTTGTTCATGGATAATGGTAGCCTCGACGATGCTACAGTTGGTGTCAGTGAGAATACTGGCATTTGTTCTCTTGTCTTCCCAGCGAACTTGGAGGATGGAACGTAGCCACGCTGAAAAATTTCAAGCGCCTTGATGTTACTCCTGTATGCGACCCATGTCTCGCTGCCATTTAGCAGGGTGGGAAGGACCACTTTGTAAATAATTTCAGTTCCTACAGCTGAAGACACAGTTTCGGAGTCTGCCAAAGGCTCGAGATGCACATCTGATCCGATGTTTAATCATTTCATCGATGTCCACAGTGGTGGACAGGTGGGAGCCGAGATACCGAAAGTGGATAACATTAGATAAGGCAGTACCGTTAAGCTGGATGGATGGTGGAGGTGTGGCTGAACCAGAGGCAGGCTGAAAGAAAATCAGAATCTTAAACATTCACCTCAAGGCCGAAGTGTACCTAAGCATCTGCGTAGGTGTTCAGGATCTCCTGTAGGCAGCGTTCAGTGTGAACGACAAGGGTGAGGTCGTCCGCATACTGAAGATCAGTAATGGAAGTTGCCGACACCTCTGTTCCTGCCTGGAGTCGTCTTATGTTGAAAAGACCCTTCATCTGGTACCTGATGTCCACCCCGCCAGCTAAATTGGCACTGGCACAAGTAAGGAAGGCAGCCAAGAAAATGGAAAAGAGAATTGGTGCCAGTACACATCCTTGTTTTACCCCCGTTTGAATGGGGAAGAAATCAGACTGGGTGCAATTGTGTAGGACACTGCCGTTTATGCCATTGTGGAGTTGGCTCACAATGGCATTGAATTTTGGTGGATAGCCAAAATGACTGATCCGCCAGAGAGCTTCCCTGTTGATCGAGTCGAAGGTCTTGGTTAGGTCGATGAAGGCCATGTACAAGTCAAGCTGTTTTCTGCACTTTTCCTATACCTGGCGGGCAGCAAAGATCATGTCAGTGGTGCCACGTGATGGTCGAAAGCCACATTGAGATTCTGGGAAGAAAATTTCCATCTCAGGAAGAAGTCTGCTTAGAAGGGCTCGGGCGATAATCTTGCCAGCTACGGACAGCAGCGAGATCTCACGGTAGTTGCCAGATCTGACCGGTCTCCCTTGTTCTTATAAATATTGAGAATGGAGGCACCTTTAAGAGCTTGGGGGATTTCCTCCTTTTCCCATATTCTCCAGGAGAGACTGAGACGGCTGGTAACCAGAGGTCCTCCTGCTTTATACACCTCTGCTGGGATTCCATCAGCCCTTGAGGCTTTGTTATTTTTCATTTGTTTGATGGCAGGAGCTAGCTACCTCATCCAGGGATGGGAGATAGCTGAGGTGGGTCAGCTCTGGATGCTGAGGGACCTGCTGGGTAGTAAGGACATCCACATCTGTGTTTGGAATGAGCAGTGAATGATAGTGTTCCAGCATTGAAGGAGGCCTTCTTTGTCTTAAATTAGGGAGTCACCATTGGATGAGGGGCAGGGGCGCGCCATGAGTGATTAGCCCATAAAATGTTTTAGTGGAATTGAAAAATTCGCACATCTTGTGTTGCTCTGCAAGTTTTTACATTTCACATCCTTTATTTTTAAACCAAACGTTGTTTTTAGATTGCAAAATTCCCTCTGGGCCGCCGCTTTCTTCTTGCGGAAGGTATCAGCTTTACTTCGAGACTGAGGTTGTTCTGCCAGTCAGTTAAAGCAGAACCTTTATCATAGACGAGTACATTTTAAACAAACCAGTCCTGGTGTATTCTTTCGACCTGGCCGAGGGTCTCTTTGCAGGATTTTGTCTGAACAGTGTCGAGAACACCCCGTTCGGCACTGGGATTTGGGTTTTGTTGTCGGGTTGTTATCAGCCCATGCTCGAGCTGCTCTCTGAAAGCATGTGCTCCCACTGGATCCTCCAGACGTTTAGTGTTAAAACCTCTTGTGGGGGCTTGTTGCCTTCGCCATTTAGGGGAGACGTGAAGTGAGAGCTTGGCTCTAACAAGTTGATGATCAGTGTCGCAGTGGTCTAAGCCACGCATGGCACAGGTGATTAGGGCATCTCGGCGATCTCTTTCTCTAACAATAATGTAGTAAATGAGATGCCAGTGTTTGGATCGTGGGTGTTGCCACAAGCCCTTGAACTTGTTGGTTTGCCTAAACAAGGTATTGGTGACAGTGAGGTTGCATACCACACTTGCTGAGGAGGAGTAAGCCGTTGGGATTACACTTGCTAGTCCATTACTCCTTATGGTTCCCTGCCAAATGTCAGCATCTCTGCTAACTCTAGCATTGAAGTCACCAAGGAGCATAACCTTATCTTCTCTGGGGATAGAGGTTAGCACTCTGCCAAGGTTGGCATAAAAGGCCTCCTTAATGTCATCCTCTGTATCCAGTGTTGGGGCGTATGCACTGATGAAGGCATGACGTGAGTAATTCAATAGGACTCAAGCGTCATGGGGCGCTCGTTGATCCCAACAAGCATTTCAGTTAGCCTGTGTAGGATGAGTTGGCGGATGGCAAAGCCAACTCCATAAATGTCGTTTCTCTCTGCAGCAGGCTTACCCTTCCAGAAGAAGGTATAGCCAGACCCCCGTTCTGTGAGTCGACCTTGGTCTGGGAGCCGGGACTCACTAATGGCTGCTATGTCAATGTTATACCTAGCCAACTCTTTAGTCAGAAGGGCAGTTCTTCTTTCAGGACGCTCATTTGTGCCAGTATCCAGAAGGGTCCTGACATTCCATGCAGCGACCATAAGAGGTTGAATAGTTTGATTTTGTTTTGATCTGTGATTATGATTGTGTTTTCGACCGCATAAGGATGACCTTACTGGGTGTGGCTGCCCAGACAGGTTGGTTCTTTAGGCAGGCTATGTTCAGGGCACCTTTTCTAGCCCCGTCCCCATGTGGGGTGAGCAGAGTGGCTCCTTGAGAGGGCTGCTCAGTGGCCCAGACAGAACCAGATTGCACTGCTGCCTAGATCCCAGGTCATAAGCAACCATCTTATCCATGCCGCCCATGTACAGAGTTGTGACTAGACACTCGCGGTAGTCATCTCTGCCTGTCCCTGTTTCCACTCGTCTGTCACCATAGGACTTTTGGGGTCTAGGGGTTTTGATGATGATGAGAGGTATGATGAACTGGATGATGGCTGCGTGTGAGTTGATTTATGTGGTGAGGCAGGAGCGCAGGCTGCAACCACACATCTTGGCTCTCCCTTTTCCTGATCCAGTGGTGCAAGTGTTGCAACGACTGGGGAGAGGGAGAGTTGCAATGGACAGCCGATAGCCCAGTTTGTTGGGTTTCGCCTTAGTAGCCTGTCCATCAGGCATTGCTTTCATCCGCCGGTGTAGGGTCGTTGGGTTCCCATGTTTGTCACCACTTCTGCCTATACCGCCGTTGGGGGGTCTTGTTGGAGCTCTGTAAGCATGTCTGCCTAATGTGGGGCTCCACCTCAGATTTTTCATTCGGGGTTTACTCCCGTGGCCATATACCTATGTGCCATCCCTCTGGAGCCCACTGCTGCTCGAGATCCCTGCTGGCTAAGCCTAGGCCCACGAGGCCCAGTTACCGTGTGTTGCCACGAGGAGACACAGCAGGAGTCTTGATGGTGGAGGCTGTGTACTGGCAGGGAAGGACTTGTGTAAGTTTCTTCCCTGTTCAACACGAGGGCCAGCCAGCGGCGATAGCTGAAAGCGAGGAGCAAGCAGTGCTTACACCTTAACACTAACATAATGCTGCCACACTAAACGCATTACACCACCCTGTGGACACACACACACACACACACACACACACACACACACACACACACACACACACACACAACACACACACACACACACACACACACACACACACACACACACACACACACACACACACACACACAGAGTGAAGCACTACGTCAAGTCAAGGGCAAAGTGACTTACCTCTCCTGTGTGCAAATGAAAGTCATCCAGGCCGATCTGCCCGCCTAAGAGTTTCGTCATGTCGACCTTGTGTGTGTTAAGCGTTAAAAACAGGATCTGTAAACAAGGCAAACAACTCGCATTAGTCAACTGCCAATGGTTATATAAACAACATTTAACAAGTTGTGGGTTACCTGAAGATTAGCCACTCTAACGCTACCTGGAGGAGGGTTGGGTTAGGGGGGTTAGGTTAGGTTATTGATAGGTTTGGTTAGGTTAGGTTAGCATCAGGGTAGTTAATCTATCTATCTATCTATCTATCTATAACAACGCCCAACACAATGACTGTAGTGTTTACCATTATAGGCGTCAATAGTAATATCCTGTACTAATAAAAAAATAAACTCTTAAAATTATTAATAATTCCTAAATAAAAAAAAACAAAGAAAAACAAGGAATCCGATCTTGTATCAACACACACACACAACACTGGTCAACACAGCGAGTTAGTCGTTCACCCTGCAACACTGGCATCTAGTTAAGTAAATTCCGCAAGATGTGATTGGTCTGCCATATCATGACGTCAGCTGCTGGTCGACCAAAATGTATGCTGATTGGTCTTTGTTTATCATAACGTTAGCTGCTGTTCTACCCTGATTGGTCGTTCTTTCATGACGTCAGATACTATCCTATCTAGATGTATGCTGATTGGTCTCTCTCATGACGTCAGCTACTCTTCCACCCAGTTGTACGCTGATTGGTCTTGTCCACCATGACGTTAGCTACTGTTCTACCCAGATGCACACTAATTGGTCTTTGTCTACCATGACGTCAGCTACTGTCCCGTCAACAAATCCCATCCCACATCTAACTCACTAACCTAACCTAAACCTGAACTAGCGGACGTCGCGGTGGGTTCAAAGGACCAATCAGTGCACGTCATGCCAGAATACGTGTGAACTTTGTTTGCTTTTGAGGCACAAGTATACCAGGCTCTGTAGGGTGTTTATAAAGTCCCTTGATGCTTGTGTTTACAGAGACACTGGAGGAAGTTACGTAAAGACAACAAATTCATCTTGCAAACGTCTCCTCAGGGCACACACACACACACACACACACACACACACACACACACACACACACACATTTCATAACCTACAACCACCACTAACAATAATAACCTGAAACAACAACAATAACATGATTAAATAACACACAACAACTAAGGTAATTTATAAAAAACAAAACAAGAAAACACACAAATAAACAGACACATACACACATACATATACAGTCTACATACACAAATAAACCTACATACAAATACACTCGTACGCACATACACGAGAGAGAGAGAGAGAGAGAGAGAGCCTAGGTAGTGTCTCTCAGATTTAAAGAAAAGTGAAATGACCGTAACAGTTTCCTTGTGAACTAGAGCAGAGTACCACACCACACATGTCTCACCCTACCTGTCATCCACACCTCTCACCTGTCTCACCCTATATCTGTCTCCTGCACCACACCTGTCACCTTACACATGTCCCTCCCACACATGTCTCCACACCCCTACACCCTCATCTTCCACCCCCACATCTGTCATGCCCCACCTGTCTCCACCCCACCTGTCACACACACACCTGTCACCTCGCACACCTGTCTCCACACAGATATAAGCCCTACTACATGTTTACCATAAGAGAATCCAAGGCTAATGTTATGACGTCAATACAGGCTTTAACCCCCTAGAACGACACTAACCACTATACATATACATATAATATAAACCAACCATGTATTATGTATTTCCCTGGTATACATTGTTGATTTGTGGTGACTCCTCCCCCTCCTCTTCCTGTTAAGATTAGACGCCAAGAGTAAATGGTAAGTCTGTTGTCTGTACCGTTCACCTGTTGTGTTTAATGAATTCACCTCAACTCTGTAGCTGCCTGTATTTTTGGCCCTGTAATTTTCACCTGTACTATAAATTCATATCATTTCTGGATCTAAACTTGGTGTGTGTGTGTGTGTGTGTGTGTTGTGTGTGTGTGTGTGTGTGTGTGTGTGAGTGTGTGTGTGTGTGTGTGATGGTCGCGTTCATCACCACAAGCAGGCAGGTTGACGGACAAGTGTATAAGCTAAGGTGACACAGCACAGCACACACACATGCACACACACACACACACACACACACACACACACACACACACACACACACACACATATGGTAAGAAATGGGGAGGAGAAGATGCCTCAACACCCACCGACCGTGGCAGGAGGACATGGGTTATATCACACGACATGGTGATATAGGCGGTGGAGAAGACATGGTTAAATGAATATACACGTGTCCTTCTCAATACTGCCTTTGAACATGTCTACTACCTCAGAAATGGACAAGGGTTATCAGGGAGGTATACGTGTCCTCATATATACACACTATGTCTCTGATGCCCCAACTCTCATAAAATAGACATGGGTGATATCATCTGCGGTGTGAGGGTAAGAGCGAGTGAAAGTGTGTACGTGTCCAACTGCACGCCGCTGCCCTTCTCGAAAGAGGACACGGGTATCGATATATCATTAGGACATGCAGAGGGAGTGTGTTGGCGACGGAGAGGATATGGTAAAGGTGAACATACATGTCCCACTCTTGGACATGTCTCTCCTACCACACAATGGGGAAGGTTACAGGACAAGGAGCATGTCCACTGGCTATGCTGAGGATATTGACATGGATCTTAACACACACACAGGTCCACTGCCTCACCTAGGGACACGGCGATACAAAACACATACAAGGACATGCACGCGTGTCCTAATGCCCAAAGCCCACACGCCAGAGGAGACTATGGGATACACCTGCCTAAAGACGGCGGTGATAAAGGTAGGTTAATTAATATGCATCATTACACACACCTGGTCATTAGTGATGTTGATGACATCTCAGGTAGGCTAACTGACCCGTCCACTCACTACCACTACTAACCCCCGACCATAGACATTCTATACCTACCACAATCACTACCACTATCCTCAAAGCACTACCACTATCCCCCCAGACACCCTATACCTACCACCATCGCCACAAAACTCCACCTACCACCACCATATACCACTCACTACCACCATTCCTCACCTCTACAACCACCAACACTACATCTACCACTATTACCACCACACGGTTATCAATACTATCACTACCACACCCCCTCCTCCTTCCCCCAAAACTACCACTACACACACATACTATTACTACTACTACGACTAATAGTACTAACAATAATATCTACGAAGACGGTAACAACTTCAACATTCTTCAAATACCCAGCAAAAACATATGTACACATAGCTTTCAATCCGATTATACATAATTTATCACATACACGTAACTTAAATATAGTCATAAAATATCATAGTCACTGATAACAAAGCTGAGAGTAATAAATATAAATAAATAAACTAAGATAACAAGTGATAAAAATAACGAATATAAATTTACTTCCGTATCTCCTGAATGAGTGTTGCCATCATGACGTCACAATTTTTTATCCAATGTCATTTTAATGTGTAGAATTTCTCATTACTATTTTGTAACGTATTGTAAGAGAAAGTGCAAAAGTACATAATATTACTTAACTCGTACATGTAATAACAAATGAATAACGATAAAAGTAAATGAGGCGTGACAAGCGATCGGTCGTCCTTATTTCGTATGACAGTTGCCAATGTTTGAAATGGGTCAAAACACCGCGCTGGACTACATCTAGTAACAAAATGATTTAGGAATATATTGTTGACATAATAATAATAATAATAATAATAATAACAGTAATAATAATAACAGTAATAATAATAACAGTAATAATAATAACATAATAATAACAGTAATAATAATTACAGTAATAATAATAACAGGAATAATAATAATAATAATAACATTAATAATAATATAATAATAATAAAAAATAATAATAATAATAATAATTTAATAAAATAATAATAATATATATATATTAATAATAATAATAATAATAATATTAATAATAATAATATAATAACATAATAATAATAATATAAATAATAATAATAAATATAATAATAAAAATAATATATATATATCATACACCTACAAGCAGACGTCGGGCGATTGTTGAGCGAAGTTCCATAATCGCCAGACGCTGCAGACTCTCGTACTGGCGTTGTATGTATACTAAGGTGATCAGCGCAGGTTATTTACCCGCACGGAGACACAGAGCCCGGAGAAAAAAAAAAAGGAAAAATCACGCGTATCCGGGCATGAAGTATGATGATTGGTGCTCGTCTACTGTGACCAAACGACGGATGTGGTGACTGACAGACAGACAGACAGGAGAGAGAGCTGATACACAGTACAGCAGATCGATACACTGGGTGAACACGACACCTGGTGGGGACAATACTGTCTACCGGTGTTGAGGAGGGTGTGTTAGGGTGTGTCAGGGTGTGTTAGTGTTGAGTGGGTGTGTGTGTGTTAGGGTGTGTTGGGGTGTGTTAAGTGTGTGTGTGTTAGGGTGTGTCAGGGTGTGTTAGGGTGTGTTAGAGTGTGTGTGTTTAGGGTGTGTCAGGGTGTGTTAGAGTGTTAAGGTGTGTGTGTGTTAGGGTGTGTCAGGGTGTGTTAGGGTGTGTTAGAGTGTTAAGTGTGTGTGTTAGGGTGTGTTAGGGTGTGTTAAGTGTTAAGTGTGTGTGTGTTAGGGTGTGTTAGGGTGTGTCAGGGGGTGTGTTAGTGTTAGGGTGTGTCAGGGTGTGTTAGTGTTAGGGTGTGTTAGAGTGTTAAGTGTGTGTGTGTTAGTGTTAGGGTGTGTTAGAGTGATAAGTGTGTGTGTGTTGGGGTGTGTTGGGTGTGTTAGTGTTAGGGTGTGTTAAGTGTTAGAGTGTGTGTGTGTGTGTGTTAGGGTGTGTCAGGGTGTGTTACGGTGTGTTAGAGTGTTAAGTGTGTGTGTGTTAGGGTGTGTTAGGGTGTGTCAGGGTGTGTTAGTGTTAGGGTGTGTTAGAGTGTTAAGTGTGTGTGTTAGGGTGTGTCAGGGGTGTGTTAGAGTGTTAAGTGTGTGTTGGGTGTGTCAGGGTGTGTTAGGGTTAGG